GAAGTTTTTAAGAAGAGACTGGACAGCCATTTGTCCGAAATGGTGTAGGGTTCCTGCCTGAGCAGGGGGTTGGACTCGATGACCTCCAAGGTCCCTTCCAACTTTATTATTATTATTATTATTATTATTATTATTATTATTATTATTATTATTATTATTATTATTATTATTATTATTATTATTATTATTATTATTATTAAAGAAAGAATAAGTTCTGTGAATATTTTTTACCTTATTTGAACTACTTATAAACAATGGACAATGAGTAAAAAAGTACTGTACAAATAGATATGCTCATACCAATTAATATACAACTAACAGATAGGGTTTTTTTTAAACATACAACTAATATATAACTAACAGATATGGCTTTGCCAAAAGTGTAATCCATATTAAGTAACGTAGCAAAGATAGTGAAAAGTTAATACAAATATATAAACAGCACAGTGTGACATCTAATTACAATCTGAAAAGAGACCATGGATGATACTATTTCAATGTAAAAAGATAGGACTCAGAATATTACTTGGGCTGTTAGAGACGACAGACCTAGAAAGGATCGCACTGGACAATATCTTCTAATAGATTATTTATGAATTGTTATGAGTAAATGATGAATAGACAAACAAGAAAACACTTGGATAATTGAATGTATATCTTAAAAGATGTTATGAACATTTATTAAGAAAGTTTGTGGATTATCAAGCTTCATGTCTCAGGTTTTACTAAACAAAATACCTGAATCATAATCATATTTGAAATAGTAATTTTTGGGACTGGGAACATATTTAAACTTTTGACAAAATATTATGGGCCTAATATGGTAGGTCTAAACATCTGACTGTGTGACCATAATAATGCAATTAAAAATATCAAATGGCCAAAATTAATTATCAAACATCACGAGAATTTGAAATCCTCAACTGAAATAAGATATTAGAGAGGAATCTTAATATTGCATAAAGTTTGGCAATTTTAAGAGTTTCTGGCATTTTAATTGTAGTGTTCATATCTGGGACTACAGGTATATTTTACAGTTGTAAAATGGTATCTCAAATTATTCAAAGTTTTGGATGCATTTTCATTCTCTTCTTTAGAATTTCTGAATGGCTTGTTAATGTTTGAGGGAGTCACACTGAAGTAATCTTGCAAATCCGATTTCTCAAGCACTGGATGAAATTTCTATTTTAAAAAGAGCTTCTTATGAATGTCAAGCTGCAAATCTGAGTTGCCTTGCCCAGGAATTACTGTAAATCCTAAAATGTTATTTTTTTCATGTGTTATAAATTTTGAAAATTACAGAGTTTTGTTCAATGGGGCATTTAATTTCCAAGGAGTTGAACATACAAACAAACTAATTAGGTTTTTTGAAAATACTCTTTTGATTGTTCCTTTTTCTTCATAGGGTGATCAATGCAGGGAAAAGTACACATAATGAGGACCAAGCAAGTTGTGAAGTCCTTATGGTGAAGAAGAAAATGGGGACAATTAATTCAACACCAAACAGAAATTCCTCAAGTAAGCGGAGATCGTCATTGCCCAATGGGGAAGGATTGCAGTTGAAAGAGAATTCAGTAAGTCTCTGTGTCTTCTTGGTGATCCAGCAAGAAAATTGGTTCACCTATAAATATTTTTGTATGAGAATACACACACACACACACACACAACTAGTGTTTTCTTAACAAGTTTATCTTTTTTCCAAAAATGTGGGAAATACTGCTATGAAATAGTGCCCAGAGGGCACTATTACTCTAGAAGTAAAGCATTTTGTTTTTTAGTCCATACTACAATTCTGGAATAATGAAACTGATAATTATTATTACACTAAAAGTAATAAACACTAAAAGTGTAATAATGCATAATTACATGCTGCTGGAGGTGAGAGTTCCTCCACCCTAATGCATTTGTTTTATCTGTGTGGTAAAGATCTTCCTGTGTGCTGTATTAACATGTAGCAATACAAATGAGACATTCTAAGTGGGGTATTTAGAATTATTAGTGAAAGTTCCCTAATAGCTTAATGAGTTTTTAAAGAAAAGCTACTCCTGGATTCTTTTTTTTTTATAAACAAGTTTTATTAGTTTTTTAATTTTTACATCAGAGTGCTCAAGAAACACCGTGGTGATGGGGTGATCAATCATCCAAAGACAAAATCATATATATCTAACTCAAGTTAATTCATTAAATGTTCCCTCTCAATTTCCCTCAAATAGTATAACATATTTAGGTTAATCCATTTCTACATTACATCTCTGTAAATCCAAATCCTGTTTTTAAGCTTTATTAATTTACAATTACCATAATCCAATTTAATCTTGAATAAACATATTATTAGCATTTCGGGTATCCCTTCTACAATACACATAATATTCCGACAGTAACATTCTAATATTTCCAGATATATTCTATTTCTTAGTCTTAATCATTGATTAGTACCAATTCTTCTCTTATCACAAATCTCTCTTATTTCTTCTTCCACTACAAAATAGTTATCCTACTTAAAATAAAAATATTACTCTACTCTATTTTAGATATATAATCTATCAGTCAATCTATTTCTATAAAAAAGAAATCATTTCAGCCCATTAGGTAAGATTTAAATCTCATCCAAATAATTATCATATCTAAAACAAGCATATTGTTACACAAAATATCATCTTGCTAACTTCACATGCTCAGTTAATTGTTAAATCAGTCCAGATCTCTAAAGCCTTTTTAACCCATTAAGTAAAATTTTAAATCACATTTTAAAATCTAACTCTAGCTTTCTTTCTGTGCCAGGCTGGTTTCCATAATACCGCATCTGTATCATCAAATCTCAGTATTTGAGTACAGGTATTTATCGACACCTCAATCTGATCTAAGTTCTCTTCCCTTTCTTCCAGTATCATCTGGATAGTATAGTCAATTTTGTTCCATGTTGTAGTTACTAGTTGATTATCAAGGTTATCACGGCTTTCAATAGATCACATCTGAAAGTCAATTCCTGTTGCTTTTAAGACTGCAAGTATTTCAGATGAAGTCATTCTTTGATCATCAGAGTTCTCCATAATTTGTACGTAGGTTTGTGAAATATCCTCTTCTGTAGTGATTAGTTGACTTGTGGAATGATCAATTAGAGCAGCGGTTCTCAACCTGTGGGTCGTGACCCTTTTGGGGGTCACACGAGCCTTTCACAGGGGTCGCCTAAGACCATCAGAAAACACATATTTCCGATGGTCTTAGGCAGGGCTTGTCAACTGCCTTCTCTCCCTCCCCCCCTCCGCTCCACCTCACTTGTTTGTGGAAAATATGCTGCTTGGCGGCAGTCTGCACGAACTCTACCAAATGTGCCCTGCAGGGGGTGCATGAAGAGCACAGACGCAGAGCAAGGCCCCACCCTCCCCAGAGACTCATTGTGCAGCAACCGGATTGGCTTCTTCTCGTGCACGCAGGTCAGCGAAGGGGAGGCCACCGCAGCACCCAACTCCGGCGCCCGTCAGCTGGCGACCCCTGAACTTGCGCTTGTCTCCTTTGCCACCCCGCCCATCCTCGACTCCTCCTCTGCCCGTTCATGTCGACCCCGCCGGGGCTTGACAGGGAGAGAGGGAGGGAAGGAGGAAGGGACTCCTCCTCCTCTCCTAAGCTTCAAAGCACGATTGGCTTCCCAAGGGCGCCACAATCCTCACGAAAGCGGGGGGGAGAAGCAAAGGGGCGAGAAAGCTCGCGGCGGGTTCGAAGGAGCACCTGTCAGCGTTGGTGACGAGAAATTCCCCACAAACCCAGGGAAGGGGTGGAGAAAAGGAGCCCCCTTTGGGAGGAAACCGCCACCTTCTTCTCCTTGGCTTTACGCTCGGCAGCCAGGCTGCCAACCCTCTGCTGGCTGGAACTTCCTTTCCTTCCCTCCCTCTTGATCTCTTCCTCCTTCCCTCCCTCTCCCATTGTCTCTTCCTTTCCTTCGCCTCCCTCTTTGACCCTCCTTCCCTCCCTCTTTCCCCTTGTCCCTTCCGTCCTTCCTTCCTTCCCTCTTGTCCAGGATCGGGGCGAGCCTCTACAGCTGATCCGCGCTTCTGCAGAGCAGCCCAGAAGCACAGATCAGCTGTAGCTGCTCTCCTTGGCTCCTGCTAGAAAACAAGCCGCTTGCTAATTTAGCAGAAGCGCGAATCAGCTGTAGCCCGGCGCTGATCCTGGAGCTTCTGCTAACTTAGCAAGCGGCATGTCTTCGGGCGAAGCTGAGCAAGTGAGCTGGGCGGAGCTCTCCTCTGTCTCTGCCTGTGCACAGGCAGGTTTGCTGGCAGCAAAGCCCCCAGCCACGCTGGCAGCCTATCCCCCTCCCCTTGTCCCTTCCTGGGCACGGAGGGGGGGAGGAAGGAAAGGATGAAGAGGGAGGGAAGTAAGGGACAATGAGAGAGGGAAAGAAGGAAGGAACAATGGAAGGGAGGGAAGGAAGGGACAAAGGGAAGGAAGGAAGGAAGGAAGGAAAGAAGGGAGGGAGGGAGGGAGGGACAAGGGGAGAGAGGGAGGGAAGGAGGAAGAGACTAAGGGAGGGGAAGGAAAGAAGGAAGGAAGGGGCAATGGGAGAGAGGGAGGGAAGGAGGAAGAGACTAAGAAGGAGGTGAAGGAAAGGAAGGAAAGGAAGGAAGGGACAATAGAGAGGGAGGGAAGGAGGAAGAAACTAAGGGAGGAGAAGGAAAGGAAGGAAAGAAGGAAGGAAGGGACAATGGGAGAGGGAGGGAAGGAGGAAGAGACTAAGAAGGAGGTGAAGGAAATGAAGGAAGGGACAATGGGAAAGGGAGGGAAGGAGGAAGAGACTAAGGGAGGTAAAGGAA